TTCATTCAAGTTTTCCTAAAGTAGCACAGGAATTTGCTCTTTGGCACTGAAATGAATAAATCATCCTTAATCCAGCCTGGGAATGAATATTCAGTCACTTTCTGTAACTTTATTTGAGAGCTATCATCAACTACTTCTGCTTCATCAATTCTAAGAAATTTCAGTTCATTGTAGCAATTTAATGTAGTTTTTATAAAATACAAAAAGATAGCCATGAAATTGTATACTTCTGTTGAGAAAAAATAAAAGATCAAAATTTCTATAAAAGAATGATTTCAGCCCCAAACTCTCTTGCCTTTTCAAAAAGGAGATACGCAAAACTGGCTTTGTCATCAGAAGAAAAGATTATTCCAGTTTCTTTTGGTGGTAAACTCTGACCCTAAAGCAATGCAGTGCTAAGCAGACAGTCTATTTCTGTCTCTTTTATCCACACATTTCAAAGTGCAAATGAGAAGAAGGTAATATTTCATACCTTTTCTGGGTTAGGATGGAGGAACATAAGCCAGAAGATTTAAGTGGCTTTTTCATTGTTAGGCATAAAGGCAGAGGATAAGAGAGCACTGTTGATCTGACTTATCCTGCCCATTTCTTGTGAAATGGCCAAATCAGCCCCCTGGGATTGAAGAGACTCACCCAGGCTTCAGTGAGGCTGGACATGACTTCTGTGAAATTCATGTGTGAACATCTAAAGCTAGGATTTGGCTTCACAATAGCTTGAAACAAACATTTGATGAGTAGGAAATTCACATTCTTCAGAAAGATTACCAATTGAGTTTTGACTTCATTTTCTTATTGTTCACTAAAGATTCTGAGACAACACAGAGCTTTTGCATAAAAGTGATGATCTGTATTTTCAGGATGTCATTGAGTACACCATAAATATACATATATATATATTTCAAATTATATATATATTTCAAATATATATATATATATATATATATATATATATATATATATATATAAAGGGTATAAAGTACAGAGAAGTTTGAACAGTTAATTATTGGACTGGAATACTGCCCTTAATATTACCAAACTCTGTTAGTTACAAAAGATGAATGCTTGTGTCTGTTAAGCCCTTAAAGGTGAATAGTAAATGTCTTGGAAACATATATATATATATATATATGTTTCATTTCTAATATGTATATACATATATATACACAAACATATATATATTCCCTCAAAGAGCCTGGATACAAATGCTGTGGGAAATGGCTGTTTCTTGTCAAGGTTAGGATGGAAGGAGATTCATGAAGATATAATTCCTGGGTTAAAAAAAAAAGATTTGGAACACATTCTTACCATTCTCAAAGCGTATATGTAGGTTTATTAAATGGAACAGGCATTATCCAGTGCTCTGAGATATTCCTGGGATGCCTGCAGCATCTCCAAACTCCTCCATGGCTCTGGGGAAGACTTTAGAAGCTCTTAACTCAATTGTTTGCCATTCTCATTGAGACGGCGTAGCACATCACTGGTAGGTAAAAATCTTTTTCTAGTCCCCCATTTTCAAAGAAAACTTTATATTTATAAAATGGCTTTGATGAAGTCATAAGAGACTCTCTAAAGCCACAACACAGAAGTTTCCTTAACCAGACTTTAATTTCCAACTCAGCCTGGACCACCTCACTTGTACAATTTTAGATACCAGTAGAATCCAGGGCCATAAGAAACACAGCTCCCTTTCAGTTTTAGTTACAATGATGACTGTAAAGAAAGCTGGATTCATTAGAGGTACAGCGTCCCATTCAAATATTCCTAAGCTTCCTCCTGTGTCAGTTTCCCCAAATCTAATTTAACTCTCAAATGAGGTCAGGACTGTGAACCTGGCTGAGCGATCTAACCCTTTCATCAGCCTCTGGACCACCTCTAGGGTAGGAAATCACCTCCACCCTCTGCTTGGGTGACTCTGGCATCTGCTGAGATGGCAGCTCTGGAGGGGGAAAGTAGCTTGGCTGGGCACAGTGATGATATGTGTTAGTCCAGTATTCACTAGTCAGTAAAGAGAAACACTCAGAAAAAGATGACTTAGCGACAATGCTGTAAGGCATAGATGTAGAAACTTGGGGAAAAAAAGGACAGTCATCTTTTTAATGAAGGCTAGTTTACTGAAATTTATTTTGGATGCCTCTTTCTGAATCTGGCAAACAAAGCAAAACCGAGATTGGTTCCATGAGGCAGGCACTTGCTGTTGGTAATATTGATGCTTTCTTTGTAGTCAGCACTTTTATTTTAACCCAAATCAGCTTATTCCTAGAGGAAAAAGGGTATTTTTTTTTCCTAGGAAAAAATAAAATTGGGTCATAGAAAGGTCTATTTAAGATATGGCATCCTGGGAAGAGCTGGAGCTGGCATGATCCTGGGGGTTGCAGGACATATCTACCTGCACAAGAGGAATCCCTTACAATAAAATACCCCACAAAGGGTTGGTGACAATACTATGAGTTTCCATAACATTTACCTAAGGTCTCTTCCAGAAGAATCCAATTTTAACCTCTAGGTAAAAATTCCAGCCCTTTACTCTGCCTTTATTTCCTCACAAATTATTCTCCTGTATCTAAACTGGACGTTAGTTTGCTGAGCTTGCAAATCTTCGTCACCCAGAACCCCAAGCCCCTGCGGAACTAGATTTAGGGCCCTTGGAAGTATTGAAGCTTGATTAACACATTATTTTAGATAAAAGTCCTTTACTACGTTTAGGTTTTCTTCTTATTTTGTAATTGAGAAGAATATTAAGATATTCCTATCAGGGAAGCAATATAGCCTGGCAGGTAAGAAGTCTGTAGAAGACAGGGATCTGTATTCCAGCTCTGCCACTCACCAGCTATACCAGCTGGGGCAACTTAACTAACCTCTCAGAGCCCAAGTTTAATTTTGTAAAATGGCAATAATGTTGTCAGCTACCTCAGGGAACTGATATCAAGAATAAAAATACTTAGTATTTATTGACCATATATAATACAAAACACTAAGTTTTATAATATAATGATCTCATTTTTTTAAATTTATTTTTTCTGAGACAATGTCTGGCTCAGTCGCCTAGGCTGGAGTGCAGTGGCATGATCGTGGCTCACTGCATCCTCAATCTTGTGGGGTCAAGAGATCCCCACCTTAGTCTCCTGAATAGCTAGGACCACAGGTGCATGCCACCATGCCTGGCTAATTTTTTGTGTTTTTTGTAGAGACAGGGTCTCACCATGTTGCCCAGGTTGGTCTCAAACTCCTGGGCTCAAATAATCTACCTTCCTCAGCCTCCCAAAGTGCTGGGGCATGAGCCATCACTACTGGTCCTATAATTATTTCATTTAATGATCACAATATGTCATCGAGTTGGGTGCTATTACTATCCCCATTTTATACAGCTGAGAGAGGAATCACGATCATATTTAATTCAGAATTTGAATGCAGGCCCTCTGCTTCAGGGTAGGCTGTGACCCACTACTACAATGTGAATTAGAACGTACTTAGCATAGTGACTGAAATATAATAAAAAATGCAACAAAAGTTTTAATGCAATTAATGATAAAATAGCATTAATGATTATAATACAATAGTATTTATAAAATATTAGGGCCTATTAAATGCTTAATATGAGAGATTCAATTTTGTTAATCTGCAGTTAACTCATTGAGCGCAGACACTGAGATTCACTAATTTTTGTAGCTTTAGATTTTAATAGAGCATTTATGCCAGAGGGGCTCTATGAATATCAAATGAAGAATGATTCCATTTGGAATCACCAATACTGCAAGGAAAAGCTAAGACATATTCAACTGGTCTAAGCAAAAACATATCCTGAATACAGATTGATGCTACTTTTTGGCCTTCTATACTACAGGTATATTCCTTATTATTGGCAAGTCTTCACAAGACTCCCATCGTAAACCATGTAGAATATAAAGAATCATGTTGTATTTTTGTTCTTATTGAATAGGATTCATCAAGCACTCATCTCCTTCTCAAATTGTGCTGAAGACACAGTAAACAAATTAAGGGCTGCTTTCCCCTTAAACAAGTCAAAACCACACACTGCAAATTCTTAAGAAAGCTGTTAGGTACTTGTTTTGAAGGAATCAATGATTATGAAATTCATTTCTAAATAAATGGGTTTTAAAATTTCTAGTATAATATCATAAAAAATACTCATTTCCTCATAACGTTTTGGTTTATGATACTGCCTTTTAGGAAGGTTCATACTTACAGAAGAAGAATGAACTTGTCTAAAAGGCAGTATGATAATCCAAAATGTTAATTTTAGCAAGTTTACTAAAACGCCTATTATAAAAATGAGAAAATCTGGGCGCAAAAAAAGCTTTGTGTCTTGTTCAAGGTCATCCAACCAATAAATGGCAGAACCAAGGCTTGGTCTCCTGATTCAGTGACATTTTCAAGCATCAGAAAAGAAAAGTGGCCTTGGAACAAACACATTCAAGTAAGACGAGAACGGACAAGCCTCAGCACAGGGCAAACATTCAGAGCTAAGTGGCACCATGTAATCACACACATTTGAATGTCCTCTCTAATTTTTAAATCATTTTTTCTTTTCTCAAGGATAAATTTTCTCGAGATTGCTTCCATTTTTAAAGTGAAGAAAAAAGAGTGAAAGAAGTTAATTACAATCATGCTACTGAACATAATACTTTTATGCAAGTCAAAAACTATTTCTAGAAAAGTATTCTAATTATGTTTAATAAAACACATGTAGACATAGATGTAGTGATAAATAATCACTACTAAAATCCTGAATATACTCAAGTCGATATTTCACATTTAAAGTATAAAATTTGCTACTGAGGTTAAACCACTGTAAACAAGAGTACATGTGTGCACACCTGCTTTCATCCAACCTTCTGTGTAGCTGTTTTTAAAGCTGAGGTAATAACCTCCCTTGTCCCATGAGGATCTAGTGGTCTACACACAAAAGACTGTCTCTCTGGAACTATTAATGCTGGTAACAGAGGGCAGGTCTCACAGGAGAAAACATATGCAATAGTTACCTAGGCATGTAAAGGACTCTCTCCGCCACCACAAAACCCACCCTGAAGAAGAGGTTGCTGGCTGGAATGAACGGGAACACCAGGAACAACAAGCCAACTAAAACCTCCTTGTGCTCCAGTCTCTGAAACACACAACAGTGAAGGATAAATTAAATTCTGTTTAATTCTACTTCAGGCAGCATTTAACCATCTCCTTCATTTTCAGGTTCTCAATGAAGGAACGAATTAATTAGATCGATATAAATCTTTTGACTGGTGTGCTGAATTTAACAGAGAAAGCTGACAGGCTAAAGTGGCTGGCATGTCAAAACACACACATGTACCCCTTACACACATGTGCCACCCAGATACATGGATATTGGCACAATACGATCAGTGACTGCTGCTCCTTGTTCAGCGCTGGCTTTACAGCAACCCAGCTTCATGGTTCTGGCTCCGTTCAGAATCCCTGTCTTTCCAGACATCCCATTTCCAAAGAGCAAAGCAACTGGCTAAAATCAAACACAGTAAGGCACTGTAGATAATGTAATTATATCTTCCCAAAATATAATGTACTTTCTTTAAAAAATTCACCAGGAGAAGCAAAGTTGAACATCAAGAAAATCAAATACTAATAAAATTTGGGACACCAATGGAGAAGGGATCGTTTGAATTGAAGCACACCTTCACACCTCTCATTATGTTGGCAAGCAGGTATTTACATCATTGATTTTTTTGAATAAAAAATTGTTATAATAATTCATGAAACTGATGAAGAACCTTCTTTGTTATTATATATATTTGTAAAGTTTTTTTCGGTCACATAATTAACAGAAAAAAACCTTGTTTATTGCTGATAATATGTTGCAAAGACATTGTAAAAACTCATTTGTATTTCCATGTGTATTTATGGTCTGGACACATTTGAAGAGAATTACATTTAAAACAGAAGAATATGTATTTTTTAAGTTTAAGAAGAAAACCAAATAGACTGTCCATATTTCAGCTTTTAATGTTTCCTATATACAATTTAAAGTCTATTACTTTTAATAATTGGAAAAGAATAAGTAAAAGAATGTCATAAATATAAATAAAACTTCCTAATAAAAGCTACAAATACTTTAAAAGTATAAAGTATAAAAATTTTATAAAATCTTTATTGGGGTAAAGATTAAAGATTAAAATCTTTACACAAAGTATAAAGATTTTAAACATCTTGGGATACTTGTCACCTTGATTTTATTAAAATCTTTGTTTTACTGACTAAAATATATAGAGTAATACATTTTCTGAGAGTGATTCCATATGATTTGGACAGTTGCCCTTATATAATTAATGGGTCTGTAAGTAATGGTCTCATTTTGACCTAAAGGAACCATATCCTTTAGAATTAAAAGGAAGAAAACAAAGATGATTATGTAACAAGCCTTCAACTCATGATCTCCCAAAACTGACCATAAAGGGTAAAAAAAAAAGAAAGAACAAATATATTTCATTTAAAAGCTGCAAGTTATCTTTCTAATTCATACCACAGTTTGAGTTTAGAAAGTATATTTCAGTTTGAGAATTTAAACTCTATAATTTATTTGTTTATATTTCAATTTTTATTTTCAATTCAGGGGTACACGTGCAGGTTTACTACAAGGGTATATTGTGTGGTGCTGAGGCTTGGGCTTCTATTGTTTCTGTCACTCAGAGAGTGAATACCATACCCAACAGGAGGTTTTTCAGCCCTTGCCTCCCTTCCCCCTTTCTCCTTTTGGAGTCTCCAACGTCTATTGTTCCCATCTCCATGTCTGTGTGTTTAGCTTCCACTTATAAGTGAGAATATGTGGTATTTGGTTTTCTGTTTCTGTGTTAATTCATTCAGTATAATGGCCTTTAATTGCCTCCATGTTGCAGCAAAATACATGATTTTGTTCTTTTTTATGGCTGCATAGTATTTCATGGTACATATGGACTGTATTTTCTTTATCCAATCCACTGTTGATGAGCATCTAGGTTGATTCCATGTCTTTGCTACTGTGAAAAGTGCTGTGATAAACACATAAGTGCAGGTATCTTTTTGGTAGAATGATTTATTTTTCTTTGGGCATACACTCAGTAGTAGGATTGCTGGGTTAGATGGTAGTTCTATTTTTTAATTGATTGAAAAATCTCCGAAATTATTTCTGCAGTACCTTAACTAATTTACATTTCCACCAACACTGTATGAGTATTACCTTAAAGTACACAATTTAAAAAAATCTTCACAAGAATCCTGTATATCAAGAGCAAGTGTTTCTTCTTAAAATTGAAAATAAACCCCAAAGAACAAAGTGTCTCGTCGAATGTTCCTCATTTACTCTGAACTTATTATTGAGTAGTATGTTGATATTCCCTTTTTATATGTACACTTTTATTTTACAGAGGTAGTTACTTCTTTTGATGCTTCAAAAGTTAAAATACTTTTTATAAAATTATTCACATCTTCCCAAAGAAGTTTCTAAAGAGAATATAATATACCCCAGTAATTCATCCTAAGCACCAAGAATTAAGAGTGCAGGTATAAGCAGAACAATGATCAGGCTGTTATCCATGTCCCTCGATACCATTTTACCCAATGAGCCACCCCACTCGCCCTCATCAAGGTTATGGGGAAACAGCCCTTATTGGGGATCTCAAAGAGGCTTCTCTTCACATCCCTAGCATCACATCTCCTTACCTTTCCAAAGTTGTTGGAATTCACTTGGGGTGGTGGCTTCGCAAAATATTAGGGAAAGTTATAGATTAGTCTCAAACCTTTTGGAAGGTGGAAAGGTTTTATTGGGGCAGGCTGAAGGCAGCTGGTCCATTACATTAGCATAGGAAAGACATAGAAAGTATAAGAGGCTTCCCCAGTTGTCTGTTTACCCCACAACCCTTTGTCTCTACTCCGTTTACTCACACAAACTTTGTGCTGGATGGTCCTCTCAGGGGGAGATCAAAGGAGAATTACCCCTTAACAGTGTTTAGTTTGGGCCCAGAACTTAAAGCTTTTATCATTCTTAAAACCACTCCTTTAACCATGTTAATTATCCATAAGCATGGTGACTTACAACCTCTGTTGTGAAACCTTTGCAGAATAAATGTGTGAATGTCCAGGGGGTCTTGGTCGATTGGCTACATTTTGCCCTCTGGAAGCAGCTGACAACCATCCCTAGCCCACTTGAATCACTGTAATGGTGTGAGAGTGCATTTAATCATCCGTCATTTAGTCAGGGTCTGCAGGACAGACCTCCGCAGGTGATGGTCAACATTTCACAAAGCATCTTCCTCACTACGGTGGGTGTTCATGTTCTTGACTCAACAAAGCCCTGAGTGCCAGGCAGCCACCACATTGGGAGGCACCTTCATCTCAGTGGTGGGTGTCAGCTGGGAGCACAGCCAACCTCTCTTTCTTCCCCTCACTCTTCGAGGCCCATAGTGAACAGGATGCCCATAGCACGGACTGCTGCTAGGGAAGACTGACATGCACACTGAAAAGTCACAGGGTTGCATGTTCATCTGTCCCTCTACCAGGTTCTTCAGACACCAGCACAGTCTTTATTTCCTTCATGACATCACTCTAGTTGTAATTACGTGTGTATCTGGGTGTTTACTGCCTTTATTGTGTGTCTGCCCCTAGAATGTGAGCTCCATGAGCACAGAGAGCTCCTCATTTGTGTTCACTGGTGCATAACTTGTGCTTAGCTCAGTACCCAGTGTGAATATTTGCTGAATAAATCAATTAAGTGAATAAATGTACCAGGCCAGAGAAACGAACTGGTAGGAAGGGGAGCAGGCAGAGAGGGCTTTTTGGTGGAGGTGACATCTGGGCTTGAGAAGTCAATAAATGTTTACAAGGAAGACAAATTTGTGACTGAGGGGTGGTCACAGCTAGGCACATTCTTAGGAGAAGATATAGAATGTACAAAGCAGGCAATAAGACTAGACATGTCAGCAGGTGGCAGATAATAAGCATTTTGCACACTTTCCTGTGGAACTGACCTTCACCTAAAGGCAATGAAGGGTGACTAAAGGGTCCCTTATGAATAGAAAGAAAAGTAAGTGTGGGCAGGCACAGTGGCTCACACCTGTAATCCCAGCACTTTGGAAGGCCAAGTTGGATGGATCACCTGAGTTCAGGAGTTCAAGACCAGCCTGACCAACATGGAGAAACCCCGTCTTTACTAAAAATAGGAAATTAGCCAGGCGTGGTGGTACATGCCTGTAATCCCAGCTACTCAAGAGGCTGAGGCAGGAGAATCGCTTGAACCCAGGAGGCAGAGGTTATGTTGAGCTGAGATCACATCATTTCACTCCATCCTGGGTAACAAGAGAAAAACTCCATCTCAAAAAAAGAAAAATGAATGACTGTTCAGGGTCCATGTCCAAATTCAGGTTGGGACCCTGCCACCAATATACCATTGGTAACTTTGGATGGGCAATATTATCCCTTCCATCCTCAAGGTGCCTCAACTACAAAATGAGGCAAGTATGCCTCAGGGTTGAATGTGGTTAGGTCATTACAAAGATTTCTTCAGAACCTAAAGTCCAGTTTTTGAGAGTTGTCAGCTGTGAGCTTACACACAGGCCATCACGCTATACTGCTAATCTTGTGGGGTGTTTTCCTTTGTTTTTAAAGCAGGAAACTGAAGACAGTAGTGCAGTGCCCAAACTCAAAAAAAGTTTCATGATTTTTATTTCATTTTGAGAAAATTAATGCTCATGAAAAAATTGTCTATTTTCAAATTAAATGGATGCCAATACTCTTTGTCTTTCCTCATCCCCATTCAGTCAAGAGAGGTTAAAAATATTCAATAACAACACACTTATTTGAATAACAAGTCAATCTGCCAAGTAGAAAGTTGTAATGAGGAAGGAGAGCCTTAATCTTCTTAAGTTTCTAAGAGCCCTTCCCCCGACACTTCTACATTGCATTTCAACAGGAGAAGTAAAGGCTGGCAGACCGGGTGCCACCCTTAATCTCACTCCTATAGATCACAGGCATGGTATGGAGGGATCTTTCTGGAAGGCATTGTTTTTACTTACACAGGATCAAACCCCCACCTAAGTCACATACCCATACCTACTTCATGGATCAAGACTCTTTCATATGTAGTTTCTAGAGTTGTAAGCCCAGGATCCATTCATATGTAATTTCTAGA